CCCCCCACCCCAGGAACTTACCCCTCAGCCCTCACTCCCACTCCCACCCACCTCCAGTTTAGGGTTAAGGTCCCTCCTGCCTATTCCCATAGCAGATTTTGTTTAGCTCCACCAACCCACTTCTCAATCACATTGTCTTGAATAGCTACCTCTTGGAGTAGTTGTGAGAATTAAAAGAATTACATGTTAAATCCTTAGAGCAGCACTTAGTATATTGTAACCACTTTATGTAAGTCTTCTATATTATTACTAGTGTGTCTCCACCTGACTAAATTCTTGACATCAGAGACTGTGTCTTTTATTGTGTATCCCCTGTAGTGTCTGGCACATAGTAAAACTCAATGTTGAATGAACAGATGTTGCTAAGAAATGGTCAGAGCTCAATTTACCAGAAGCCCCAGAGGTACTTATCAGAGCACCTTAGGACAACACCTAGAATTATTTTCATCATGTCACGTGATGATTTGCCTGAACTCTCACTTTATATATATCAGAGTCTTACTTTTAATTGAGTCTTACTTTTAATTAATTGAATATAGTTATATGGGGTTATGAATGAGTATTAACTTTAATCCTCAGAACAACTGCCATCACCTGGCCAAAATTTCCCCAAATCATTCTCTCAAACACGAGCTGCTATTGTCTTACCTTCATCTGGTCCACTCATCCATCAAGTCCATACCTAATATCACTTCTTAAAGAAGCTTTCCCAAAACCTCTCACACTGGGTTGGGACTTCCTATTAGGTTTGAATAACATCCTATACTTTTATTACACTGATACTGATGTTTTAAAATAAGTTGGACTAAACTCCATTAGATTAATTTCCATAAGGACAGCGGCCACTTCTGTCTCATACATACATGTCCCGATGGCCCAGGATTGGTTGCATGAATAAAGTCTCTGACCTTAGGAGCTTAAGGTTTCTGAAGTAAAGAATTACAGGACTAAAACTACTATGGAAATGACTAGTTGCCGTGAAAGTGTGCTTTGGAAATTCGAAGGAAGGAGAGACCTGGCTGAAGGGGTCAGGGGTGGCAACATGCAAGGAGAAACATTAGAGCTGAATCTTCCTTGAAAAGAGGTCTAGAATTTGTACAGGCAGGAATAAGGGGGAGGAGACCACTCCAGGAAATAGGAGATAGAGTGTCTAGGGAAAGGAAGTACCTTGATTTGCTAAGCATTGCTAGATCCCTAAAGGGGAAGAATGAGAAAATGTTATAAAGAAGGCCGAGATCAGATTAGAGAACTTAAAAATTTGAACTGAATTTGGTAGGAAGTAGAGGACCATCACATTTTCAGTCAGAGGAACAACTCAATCGGAGCTTGCTCTGGAACAATTAAGAACAAGCATAAAGTAGATTCGTGGAAAAGTATGCAGACTGAACTGAGTTCACATAGGCAGTGGGAGTGGAGATAGAGGGGCCGTATAGGGAGAGGTGAGCCCGCGAAATTAAGACCAGGTCTTGTCTCTGAACAGTGGACAGTATTTGCTCTTCAAGGCCTATCAGTACTACTTGACCTGATCAAATTCTTTGGCAACCTCTCTGTTTTTTGAGTCCTAGAGAAAATAAGGTTAAGAATTAGGCGAAGTTCTGAGCCAGGTTCTGAAGTTGAGCTCAGAGGCTGAAGAGAGATATTTTTCCCCTAGGAATAGTCATGCAAATAAGCTTATTTGGTTGGGGCCCTTTCTAGTATAACTCAGCTTCTACTAAACCAGGTTGGTGGAGTTGAAAGTTCCAAAGACATTTCTCATGTCCTCATTCACTCTGCTACTTAAAATCCTTCCTCCTACTTTCCTTCAATAAACATTGAGTGTCTGCTACACCAGACACTGCAAATAAAGCATCGACCAGAACAACAGAAATCTTGCCCTCATGGAGTTTATATTCTTGGTGGGGGAAAGGATCAGGGAAGAGGGTATGACCAACGATAAATGAGATAAACATAGTGTGTTAGTGGACAAGTGAGCAATTTTGGATAGGATCACCAAAGTGTTAGAATGACATGTAAGTAAAAGTCCCAAGAAGGTAAGGCCAAGCGTGCTACAAGCAGAGGGAACAGTAAATGCAAGGCCACTGAGGAGACGTGCCTGCTTGGCAGGTTAAACTGCTGGAAGGCCAGGATCCCTACCCAGATGAGTTTTATTTTGAAGCCCCTGTGGGAAGAAGCTAGAGCAGAACAGGGAATGCCAGAGACTAAAAAGCGAAATAGAGAAACTGGACATGGAGCAGGTTTGTTGCTAGGCACAATATATGTCTTTTCCTCATATCTCAGAGGAAGCCTATTTCCTCAGTACAAGCCAAGGAGTGAGTTGCTCTGAGAAACTGGCAGCAGTTACAGGTTTTAATGTTTTTATATGCAAGCTCATGCTCCCTAACCAAATTTTGACTTATATGAGTTTAAAATGCCATTTCAAAGACCTGC